AAGGTCGAGAAGGAGGAGGGCAGCAAGGTCTGCTCTGGTGGTCCTGGAGCACCCGACTCCGGTGATCTCTAGTCCGGTGGTCCTGGCAGACCCGACTGCGGTGATCTCTAGTCCGGTGGTCCTGAAGGACCTGAATCTGGTGGTCTCAAGTCCGGTGGTCCTGAAGGACCTGACTCCGGTGGTCTCAAGTCCGGTGGTCCTGGAGGACCCGACTCCGGTGGTCTCAGATGTCGCCACAGAGCTGCCCGATTTTACTGCTGCTGCCATAATCAAGAAAGTTGTCTTTGCCTTTCACCTCAGGGCTCTACTGATGCATGGGCTGCCTCAGAGTCCACTCCAGATACTCCCTCCAGTACATGCTCCAGTCCGGGAGCTCTCAGAGTCCACTCCAGAGCCCGCTCCAGTCCGGGAGCCCTCAGAGTCCACTTCAGAGCCCGTTCCAGTCCGGGAGCCCTCAGAGTCCACTCATGAACTTTCTCCAGTTCAGGAGTCCTCAGAATCTACTCAAGAGCCCGCTCCAGTCCAGGAGCCTTCAGAGTCCACTCCAGAGTCTGCTCCAGTCAGGGACCCTTAGACTCCACTTTAGAGCCCGCTGCCGGCCCGAAGGCCACCTCCCTCCTAAACTTTTGTGTTTTCTGGTATCCGCTCCTTAGAGGAAGGGTAATGTGACAGTGTCTAGTTGTTGTGCCCTGGACTGGCCACTTGATGGTGCTCTCCCCTTTCACTGTTACTTGTCATGAACTCCATTTCCCATAGTTCTTTGCCCGGTTCTTTTCATTACTGATATTCATCAGCTGCTGGTCATTTACCCATTAACTCATCACTATATATACCATGCTTACTTTGTAGCAATATATTAGAGACAAAAAGCCAGGAGGCAGAGCTGAGAAAGCTGAAAACTGACATGGCCACTCTGCAAACAGAGTTGACCCATTCCCATAATGGCATGTCAGTACAGACAGAGAGATTAAGTGCAGTAAGTACTAATCTGAATAAGTCCAATGCTGAGTTAAGGTCAGCTATGCTTGAAATTTCTGAGCTGAAAAGGCAACAAGAAATAGAACGCAAGACTTGTGATCTGCTCAAGCAACATCCTTCTAACTCAAACGTTACCCAAATCCAGCATAGGGAACCATTGATTAAAGTACGAGCTGAGGCAACTAGAACATCAGTTTTGGTAAACAAAGATGGCAGTGCAGAACAGAGATGTGAAGTAATAGGAAAAAGGAAGAGTGAATTGGAGAAAGGCAGGCAACTCCCCCATAAACAACCTGAATCACAGATGGTGCACACCCAGTGTTACCAGAAAAATTGCAATTTTACAGCCTCTGCTGCCGGCTTTAACATGAGTGCTGGCTTCACTCATTCCTATAATGCAGCCTCTTACTCCACCATAGGTAGAAAGACTAGCTGCTCCTTACCTGAATCTCCTATCACCCAGCCATCTAGAGACAGCCGCCTGCATATTCTTAGAGAATTAGCATGTGACATAGATGTGTTTAACCCTGAGATTTATGGTAACAACATAGAGTTGTATTTAAAGGATGTAAATGCAGCCTTGACATACTTTCCTGAGTCTAAAATGGCTTACAAAGTCTTTCTTCTGAGAAAGACCACTGCACGAACCGTCCATGGTTTCATAGACAGACAGAGCCCAGCTATCGCTACCAATTATGACGAATTGTGTAAAGCCCTTCTGTCAGAGTACACTCTGTACCAGAACCCATCTGCCTCTCGTCTCTCAGCTTTCCGAATTAAGCAATGAATCTCCCAGAGAGTACTATGAGCGCTTAAGGAAAATGTATTTTGGTGGTAGAGATGACCCTAGTGCAGAGAAGGATGTCATGTTTAAGAGTTTGTTTGTGAGTAATCTATACCCCACTGTTAGGAAACCACTCATATCTGCAGGAGAACTGAGGCAGCTGCGAGCATGGGACAGTGAAAAGGTAGGCACAAACAGGAAAGACAGAGAGCCAGATACATCTGTGCTTGAATCAGGAAATGACAGTAAGACTCCGCTTCAATTTGAAGTGTCAGAACTTCCCCAGAACAGATTTGTCCATTCTAGCAATCTCCTGCAGAGCACAGGGTTTACAGGGGACATAACAATCACAGGCATGCTTCGGGACACACTTATTGTAATCTCACACATACTATTTAGGATGGATAATATGAACATTGGGACGCAGGGTTTGTTCTGATGCCCTGTGCTTGTGGTTGACTACCCATTTAATCCCGCGATAGTGTATTTGTGATCTGCCTGGGAATCCCCATGATGTAATGAGATTAGCTGATCTAGTATTTCGGATATAGGAAGCGGATTTCAGGAGGAGAGTTGCCGGCCTGTTCAAATGGACTAAAGCGACCGATTGCTTTACTCTTTCTCCCACTGTTCTTGCTTTTGTTTGGATATATATACCCAATGAGGAATTATTTCTGATTTAGTGGATTGTTTCTTGAGGCTGTACACAAGAGTTCCTTCGAGTTCACGAACTCTAGCGTTTGCCGATGTTATGGTTTAACTGGTTTCCGTGTTATCTGGTGACTTCTTGCGCTTAAAGCTACCTTCACACCATGTCGTAATTACCATAATTCCGAGATGACAACATGTGACATTCTACTCTGAGCTGAATTATGGGTTTCTATGGCAACACTATCAACGCCAAAGCCTTCACATGCTCCAGAACTCGTAATTACAACCTGTAAGCTTGTAATGTTTGGAGAGCTACTGCTGCGTTTACGCCATGTCGTAATTATCGTAATTCCGAGATGACAACACGTGACATTTTACTCAGAGCTTTCCATGTCCTCAGACTCTGAGTTAGCACCTGAGTAGCACCTAAATGAACCTGATGGAGGTCAGGTGGTACAACTGTCACATGGTCCAAGTCTTAGCTCTCAGAACATTCCAAGCATAATATCATAATATAAGAATAATATCGTGACATGACATGTCATCTTCACATTTCCTTTGCAACCTTTTAATGCTGAAATTCTATGTAACGTGATGAACATTTTAAATCAAAATTTTCTATTTAAATTCAATATGTTCACCACAGGTCAGGGCTCCGGTTGCACAGCAATGGAGTAAGACGTGTCTAGCTCGAGCTCTCGCCGAACTCCTGTTTTATAAAGCAAATAAGCGCCTTGCATTACAAAACATTCTGTGAAATCTGCTTTGATTGTATTTCTGAAATAAGAAAATAAATATAGTGTGATATCTAGGTGAAAGAGTCTCTATGTGCTGAGAATTAACCGACTTCTGTGACATGAGGCGGCTAGCAGACGGTCAGTTTAGCCAATCTGTCTGCTTCCTGACCTGGGCCCCAGTTAGTCAAGTCAAGACACCACCCCTGAAGACCATCTCTTTTCAACAGGTCAGGTCTGCCCCAAAAACTTGTCTAATTGTCTATGAAACCAATGTTATTCTGCGGGCACCACTTAGACATCCAGCCATTGAGTGATGACAGTCTATGTGTCTCGTCTCCACGGTAAGCAGGGAGTTGACCAGAGCATTACATTACATTACAGTGTCTGACATCGAACTTGCAAGTGATCTCCGACTGGCAAAGTCGGACTTCATTAGTGCTGCCATGAATAACAATCTTATTGAACTTACGTTTAGCATTAGCCAGCACTTTTAAATTTGCCAAGATGTCAGGCGCTCTCGCTCCCAGTAAACATTGGACTATGGTGGCTGGTGTCTCTATTTTCATGTTCTGTACAATAGAATCACCAATAACTAGGGCTCTTTTAACAGGTTTCTCAGTGGGTGCGTCACTGAGTGGGGAGAAACTGTTTAATGTTTTTATCGGAACAGAAGAGCGGTGTTTTGTCCCTCGACTATCCCGCCTCACAGTCACCCAGTCACCCTGCTGAGGGGGCTCTGCAACAAGAACCGAACAATGTACAGGACTCGCTAAGCTAGTCGCATCCAAAGCTGTATCTAAGGCCCTCACATTCTTACTATCCTCAATTAAATTTTGGATGCGTGTCTCTAGTTCTGAAATCTTCTCTGTCAGCCTACCTATTTCCCTGCATTTCTCACATGTGAATCCCTCACCGCTGACAGAGAAAGCTACACTATACAACTGGCAAGCAGTGCAAGTGACAATAGTAGGAGAAGAAGCCATTACTCATCATGATTGTTGAATATTTCCAACTTACCACAGCTGTTTGATGAATACGTGAAAAATGAAGTGAGAGAGAGAAAAGAAATGGTAGGCGTGAATGACAGGCTACCAGGATAACAGTATGCTAATGATTAAAAAGCAGATTAGATTAAAAAGCAAACAATGTCAAATTAGTTTGTTAGATAATATCAGAAGTATGGTGATAATTAAATTATATTTTAACAGTTTAAACAACAGAAAGAGATAGTTCGATAGAGATTCCAACAGAAAAACAAAGCTACATGGAGCTACAATCGCAAACCACTCAGTAGCACAGCAGACAAGAACCAAAAGTTCTATCTAAGCAATAATTCATGAATTGTTAAAGATGTACAAGGTCAATACCTCTTTCTGAGCACATGGCAGCATAATTGTCCCATTTCCCTGCATCATGAACTTTTGCAGAGTATCATGGGTAAGATGCAGAGTAGCTTCTGGAACATAAGAAAAGTAAGAAATGACATGACGAATCATGAGATATAAATGAGAAAACCACAAATACAACACCCTTCAGTCTCTCTATAATAGTCTATTTATGCTGCATCATGAAATAAATCAGGAATCTGGTTTTGAGTTAATTAATTATGAATAATTATATTTATTAAACATTTATAACGTGATTGAAAAATGGCTCACTATTTGGCAGGTATTGCATTAAAATCACCTTTTTATTCATTCAGTTTTAACTGATTATCAACGATTATCAACAATTTATAATAGATTTGAGTTATATCATTTATGAACACCTTTATAAACCCTTTACAAAAAGAATCTTAATGTAATGTGTTACCAATTTTTCATCTCTACATTCTCTTCTTATCTTCCAAGGTATTTGGATCTAAGAGGATTGTCTTTGGGGACTGGGCCAGTAACTTGGCCTGACATGTATGGGCCAGCAGAACGAGACGAGGCCTACAAGAGCTTCAGTCTGTCAGGTTGGGCTGGTCGAAGTGGTCATGATGCTCCAATGATCGCTCTGGATGCCCTCTTAGGAGCAGGCTCAGACTGGGAGGAACTCATGAGTCGAGCAGGATTTCATGGAGGTCATCTTACTAAATTTCAGAATTATCTATATCTATTTTGTATTTTAGTCAAGTTTGTGTAAAAACTAGGGCTGGGATAAGCTATGCGTCAAGACATGTAGGTGTGAGGAAATAAGCATGAATACTTGCAATAATGACAGTGTATCAAGAGGATCAGTCCTCATAAAAATTTTGGACCCACTTTATTTCAAGTGTATAAGTATTAACATTTAAATTAAGTTATTCATGCAATTCACTTATTAACAAAATGCTTATATTTTTAAAATACCTGCTTTAAATTACATCTGTAATTATTTTCTGTAATTACATCTATAATTATTAGGGCCGCTAAATTAAACTGCTGATTAGAATTTTCCATTTAAAAACAACATCCTATGGGACAAACAACACCAAATAAGACTTACAAACACAGAGTGCTTACTGAAGACACAGAAAGCTGATAATGTTTTGTTCCGGATATCCTTTATAGCTTGACAGTGCATCAATGAGATTGAAGGAATTCAGCATGTACATTAGCATACTGTACATATCATCAACAAAATGATGCAGCATCAGAGTTCCCTTGAAGGGGAACTGTATCCATTTAAAAGAACAGCTGATTGGGGGATGTAAACTATTAACATCTGGTAACCCTAAGCATGAATGCTTGTGGAGCCATGCTATCAATGAAAGACAACGTAAAGAAACCAAAAAACACAGGATAAATAACCATCGGGCAAATATCACAGTTGATTATGCTTAATCAAGAGAAGCAATAATCATTATCAAAAGTGAAATATTATTTTTTTTGTGCAGCCCTAATAATTACACTGTTGACCCTATCCCTACCCCTTAATCCACTCTTAAACCTAAGTATACCACAAAATATGTCCCTTACCCATATACCACCTCAATAGTAGCAAAAGTGTTTTGCCATACAACATGAACAAAATATGTACCAAACAAAGAAAATATTATTTACGCAAGTACATAGTAGTTGAAGACACCTAATAAAAAATGGGACCAAAATATTAATACCAAATGTTTTAACTATCCATCCATTTTTCACACCACTTTATCCTATGCAGGTAAAATACAACATACAATAGACAGAGAACAAACTCAAGAGAGTGAAACTCCTAAAAATACACATACACACTGTTCATTTCTGTTGGACTATAAGCCTGTGCATACTTCTCTTTTTACAGGAGACAGTGACAGCACTGCAGTGATTGCCTGCTGCTGTTGGGGTCTGCTGTATGGAATGGATGGAGTCCCCCAGTGTAACTATAAAAATCTGGAGTACAAGAGCCGACTGGAGAGTGTGGCACAAAAGCTGTATGCTCTTTCTCACTGATGAAGTAGAACTGTGAACAGAGAAAATACAAAAAAAAGAAATAAATCACATCGAAAAAAGATGCCATGCCATAAATTAACAAATTTATGTCACTATGCTGAATATTTTAGATCAGTGAAAATGCTTTTTCAAATATAACACGTTTAAGGTATGTTCACAATGACAGAAATTAAATATATAACATTTTGGATGCATTTGTTTGACTTCCCAGTTTTGAGCTTAATCGGAAATGAAAGAACTTAACCATGCAACTGGAAATGTAAAATTAATTTTTTGGTCTTTTTTTCTCCTTAAGGTGAGTTTGGAAGGTTAAAAAAATAAATAAATAAAAATTCATTCAAGCTTCATTTTTGACTTATCATTTAGATAAAGGGGGTCGCACACCGGACGAGAAGCGCAGAGCCGCGCCGCGTCGCACCACGTCTTTAAAATTCGAACACATTGTTTTCTATGAGAGTACGCACACTGCCGGCGCCATTCGGCGTCTGTCCGCGGCGCCCAGCTACGACTCAGGACGCTGTTCAAATTACTGCCGCGCCACAGAGCGCCATCTGCATAGTTTTATATTAAATAACATCATATTTGTCTCAAATCGTTGTTAATACATTATACCTAGATACCACTTCTTCAAAATACTAAATACATTAGTTTTACAGCTTGAATAAAATGTAAACATATAGAATTAAATGTATAATAAACGTAGTCCTTTTAATCTTTTATTTTTCTCTTGAGACATTTTTACATACGCAAAATATTACAGTATTGGCTTATGTAACAATTGCCTGTTGTGATTATTCACTGTCGCCGGCTGTCACCTACTGGATTTACCAGGTCACAACCGCCACAACACACTTCAGGTAATTTAAATAGCGGAGTAGTGGACCGCAATGGATGACGAAAACTAATCAACGAAGTAGGGAAATACCCAGAATTATATGCAACATACCATAGATTCTTCAAACACAACACAAGGAAGTCATCAGCATGGAGGAAGATTGCCGATGTCATCGGTTTTTCAGGTAAGAATGTCTAATTTATGACCTGAGGTAAAATGTTCAGTAACAGACGTTAGCAACAACTGTATGTAATTGCATAGTAACGTTACAATTATAAAATAACGTACAGTACAGACATTGTCTTAATTTCATAATGTCCTTAAAAATAATAATGTTGACCACAAACTGACAATTATGTTACTTTAAGTAAACAAATCCTCATGTTGAATTAAGACAAACTACCTCAACAGGAATATGATTATAATTGAAGTTAACAAAGAAATAAGCATACCTTACACAAAAAAAATATGTAGCATCT